CCTTCCTTATAACAGTTAAAGAGTTTGGGGCTACTCGTAAAAGAGTATTAGGTATTTCGGTCTCTTGGTCTTCACCGGGGGCGAGTGTATTAGGTTTCTCGGTCTCTTATCTTTACCGGGCTCGTTGCTAAGAGTGTATTAGGTCTCTCGGTCTCTTAGTCTTGGAATCGTTACTCTCTAGAATTCATTACCGGCAAAATATTTAGATAAGTATAGTTTTTTTTATTTTTCGAACGGTCGATATTAAATTATAACCTAGGAATCACGCAATATCCTAACTTAAAAATTCTTTCTCTATTATCCGATATATATAGCGCTTTCTTATTTAACCTAAGTAAAGTAAAATATCTCCTATTCTCGTCACCTTATTTATTAAGAAAGTTAAATTTATCAAAAAAAGGTATAGAGTATACTAAAAAAAAAATAAACTAATCTAGTTAAATTATTAACTGATATTCCCTATATTCCTAGATACGCTCAAGAAAAACGAAAGACAGATGAAGCGTTTAAACTAATATAAATATATCTATGGTTCGTTACAATAGGTGAGGGATCTTTTTTTCTTGGCAAAAAACTATTAATAATATTAACGATCTTTGAATTTTCCGCTAGATATATTTAAGATACTATGGTTCGTAAGAAGAATAAAAGACAAGCGTAACCCAATTTATCAAGAGTTGGTCTAAAAGCGTTATAGTAATAGAACGAGTTATGAGAACTTATACGTCAAAGGGTGGCTTTATGCGCAGTAATATGTCACGTCATATAATTAGTAGTTAGATCATATAATAATAAGTAACTCTACTTACTATCTTGTTTTTATTAATTGGATGTGAGAAGAGTTTTCACTATTATAATAGGCATAGTACGTTACTTTATTTCTATTACGGTTTATCAATTTACTCTTTATTATGAAGTGATAAAGAATTCTTCAAAAAGTCTCCAGCTCACATAAAGATATTCAACTGGTTTAAAGAAAATAGGGCATTGTCAACTAAGCAGTCCCAACTGAATACTATCACCAATAATAATCGTGACAGAAATATCTCGCCTCCGCCAGTAAAACAAGAGTTTTCACTTTCAAGAAACCGCCAGGCTGCAATTGTTGAACATTTTTATACATTCATGAAAAACGAATTGTATAAATTCCTTACTGAGTACAAAAATATCGTTCCTACAAAGGCTGTAGAGACTTTTGCCAAAAAGAGAAACTCTCCGATTAGCTCTGATTTTAGAGATGCCGATCTTTTAAACATGCTCAATTTTGTTGTTGAACATGTTAATATTTTTTTAGCAAATTCAGTTTTCCATGATCTATACAAGACTAACCCTGTAAAGATCTTCAAGGACTTCAAGGAGAATGTGCAACATAAAATAGCACACGGAATTTCTATGAATGGAGAAAATTGCTGGAACGATCTTGCGATCCAAAATGTCACTTATTTATCTTGTCATATTATTGCCTGTCTTGGTAAATAATTTATTTCAACTTCATATTAGATCATTGTATTTACTGTATATTGATTTGTATATATATAATATCAGAGGGGAACTATAAGGATATACTGTATATGCCGTCAGAGAAGAGGTAGATAACAAAATTGCTCAGAATTTAATGGAAAGAGCCATTACAAAAGAGTCAAGATCACCAAAAAAAAAGGTCAATAATAGCTTTTGTAAAATAACTGAATTCTTTCTAGACATTCTTGAAAAGGTTGAGGAGATCGAAAAGGAACAGAAGAAGAAAATTATGAAAGTGATATTAAAAAAGGACAAGTGATTGACAAAGATTTGGGAAATAATCATTACGTAGAAAAGCAAGAAAGAGCAAGTTCGCAAATTTATTGAGTTTGTGAACATGATGTTTGGTATTGTGAGTATTCGAATATTCGATAGCCTACTATAAATATATAAGGTAATTTAATTATTCTACTTTATTTAGAGTTTAATAGAAGTGAATGACAATATGACAGATTCAGAACTCAACAGTAATGGAGAGAGTAGTACGAGAGATTTGAAAAAAAGACGATAATAAAAGGATAGCCTATTTTATAAGATGTACAGTATAGGATTGACGAGAACGAATAACTTTTTTGTTGAAATTAATTAGTACATCACAAAGACCGCTAAAAATGTAAATAAGGAATCACTACTTAACATTAAAAATAAAACTTTGTGTATAAATTTAAAAATGCTAAGAAAAAATTTAAAAGAGCTTTATGAGTGACAAAGATTTTTTTCCCAACATAGAAAACATGGGGTGTTCTCATACATATTTATACAGTATACGTGCAGCTGCATTTGCATTATTTGCGAGTGAAATTTCTGGATTACGGGAACTTAATTTAGAAATATAATTATTACAGTATGAAAATTTCACTAGAATGCAGCTGCAGGTATACCGTAAAAATGCCATACGGAGAACACCCTTCATGTCTTTTATTTTCTATTGGTTTCAATTTATTTCTAGTTTAGTCCAATTCTTAGATTGAACCAAACCTTTAATATTACTAGCAACATGTGGTACTCATAAGAACAGAGATTTTTTTCCAATTGTTAAATTTATAATTTATTCAATTAAACTTATTTTTATTTTTATTGTTCAAGTATCAATATTGCTTTTTTTGTATATAAAAAATATTTTTTTCTTACTTTGTATCAAAATTACATATACAGTGGCCTACCAATGAATTGTGGACACTTTTGAATCTTTAATTATACAATATTGGGCAAATAAATTCTATATGAAATTTTTGCCATG